TATTATATTTACTGTTCTTATTTCTGCTCCTTCAGTAACAACTACAAAAAGTATGGCAAGTGAGCTCATAGGGCTCCTCTGAATTTTGGACATACTTGAAATGTTTTCTATTTTTCACAGCCTAAAGTCAGAACAATAAATACAAATGTCCCAACAACAACAAAAAAGTATTTAGGGATTCTTCAATTTGTTTTGTACTGAATACTATTTTGAAACATGAGTTAAAGCCATTAGTTGTTTTTTTGACTGGGTGGCGGGAGGGAAAAACATACGTTTATTAACACTAAAAATAAACATGGCAAATTGATGTACAAAGATTTTCCCTACTATTCTGAGGGCTGTTGATATCCCAAGCTATTGCTATATCTCCAGCTACTAAGTGGAAAAAAATATATATTGCCTTTGTTAAATAATGTTTTTTCTTTCTTTAAATTTTAGTTATTTATTTGAAAAATTTACCCCCTTTTATTTTTCTTATATAGGTAAATGTGTAGCATTCTACAAGGCATGCTGGGTAAAATATACTATGCAAATGTGTACAGTGCTGCATGTTTTGTTCTCCCTCTGCTTTTGTGGCTTTAAAGAAAAAAAATGTGTTGTTATTTTTGTGAAGAAAAACATTTAACAGAGAAAATGCAGAGTGCATGCATAGAGTATCCTAATTTCTATGGATTTGTTTTATGGAATTTAAATGTGTATAAATCAACTGCATTAATTTTTTCTTTTATATAATAAATGAGAAAACACTGAAATCAGCCTTATACCTCTCCTTTATATTATTCTGGAGATATTTATGTCATTCTGGAGGTATGTTCCTATACCTCTTGCAGGAAAAAAAGAAGCCTAAACATTTACTCTCACAACACAGATTCAACTAAATGATGATTTCCTGAATACTCTGCTAGGATATATGAGTTATTACAAAAGAAGTATTATATTAGGAAACAGCATTTAAATTAAATCCATACATAGAGAATATATTACAATATGTGTGTATAAAACAGGATCAAATACAGTAGAGAAAATTAAACTAGGTAAACTTTATTGTTCCCGACAAATCTCTAAACGATTACTTTAATGTAGTAGTTACCAGAAGTTTCCAGAGGTTATCTATCCTGTACCCATAAGCATTTCATGGATGGCACATAGCTTATGACTTGACATTTCATGTGCTCCATGTCAGTCGACCATGCTGTGAATTGATTGGCATTTGACTTTTTTCTCATTGTAGTGCGCAAGAAGTTCAAAAGAAATGTGCACTATGTTGATTATAATTACTGCATTAGAATTACACAGTGATTTATTGCAGCCAAGTTGTTTCACAAGCATTATCTCATTTAATCCATCTGACCACCCTGGAAAATAGGAAGGGCATAGATTATTAGACCCAATTACAAATGAGAAAAACAAAGAGCATGGTAACTTTTCTCTGCAAAATACTTTTGTCTAAAAATACATACATCAAATGTTTTTACGCTGGTAGTCGTTTGAAGCACACAATGCTGGAATACAGTAAATATTGACTAAATGAACGATACTTCAGTTATTGGAGAAATATTAAATAGGGCTGTCCTATCTATTAAGGCATTTCAACCAACAATCCGAAATTCCCAAATAGAATAATTGCAGCTCACTGCAACGACTCCATCAAGGCCATATGCCTGAAGCCACCTCTCTGGTCATTAACACATCTCTACTAAGAGGATAGGTTGTGAAGAAAAATCTTGCTTGTCCTGTCATACAACATGCAGATTGGGATAGTGGTTAAACTGTAAGCCATAACTCCGGCCTATGTTCAAAGCCTGGATCTGGCAGTAACCAACTATGAGCTTGGGGCAATCACTTAACCTGCCTGTACTTTAATCTGTTTTTGTAGAGCAATTTTCCTTTTGGTTACAGGTCACATTGTCTTGTGTCTTTGTAGGTCCGGTAATTTTGTTACTGGGTTCAAGGTATTATAAATATTCCATTGTGGATGGCTTGTTCTTATATTCCTCTAAAAAATGCTGGACTTGTTTTGACAGGCAATTGTAGATTAGTTTGATCCTCTGAAGGTTTGTTTTTAAGCTCCTTTAGGACTAGTCTAGAGTAGGATTTCTTCTTAGGCTAATTTAGCTCCTCTTCTAAGGTCTCTGGGGTGTCTACCGAATGTCCCATATATTTAGTGAGTTCTCTTCACTCTGATGGAAGGGAACTCAGATCATCCCTGGTCCTTAGTAGTAAACTCTAAGAATTACATGTTTTACGGCTCCCTGGTACTTGTTTTTTTTTCTCAGAAATTGTTATTGGCTAGTCTCGGGTTTCTGCACGGATACAGGTTGATACATAGCCAAAGACTTAGTCGCTGACTTCAGCAGGCTTCTGGAGCTTTTCTCTGTACAGCTTCCTCCTTTCAGCCACTCTGCTTCACAAATTCTAGCTACCTTGATACCTTGGAACACTGATCTTTGTCTTCAACTCAAGGAGACTGCTAGACTAAATTTGAGTTCCCATCCCCTCTGTCACTGGCTAGGCATTGCCTCCAGGCAGAAAATCCGGGTAATGGTTAGACTCACCTCATTCGTGACTCTTATCAGAGATCACAATCCTGTGCTGTATGTTGCCCAATATCTGAAAACAGTTGTTTTCTACATTTTGTCCAATTTCCTATTTGTTAATGATGGGAGGACAATTCTGGACTATCCCACTTTCCCATACCTGGAAGCAGAAGTCTCTTTAATGACATTTTGCACATTACTATCATCATGGATAGTCTTTAAAAGATTTTATAAGGAGTTTGTTTTCACAAATAGCTTCATACTACTTGACAAACATTTCCAATTACTGTACTTACATAGTGGTCCAAATTTATATTTCACCTATGGATCCTATAGTTGGACAATATTATATTAGGCAAATTCCCTTTTTATTTTATTTTCTTTCTTTCCTTCTTTCTTTCTTTTTCTTTTTCTTTTTTTCTTTTTTTTTTTTTTTTTTGAGAGCCACTTAGAGATAATCTGGCAGACTAAGCCCTAACTTTGCAAGTAAATAGGGATATGATAATCATTTAATAGGTGGACAGAGATGTGTGGGGAGTTTGTAAAATGTCTTAAGAGCTGCCAAAAGTACCACCTACAGTGTGCAAGAATGGAAATATTAAAGAGTTAATGTAAATTGATTACACAAACAATATTGTTTTTCTAAATAGCCTAGAAAGAACTTTATTATGCAAATATAAACATAAAATGGATTAATGTAGTATTTTCTTTCCTTTCATATGTTTCCTCTAAATTTGGCTTTTGGGGCACCTGGGTGGCTCATTCAGTTGAGCATCCAACTCTTGAATTTGGTTCAGGTCATGATCCCAGGGTTGTGGGATTAAACCCATAGCAGGCTCCATGCCAAGCATGGATTGGGATTCTCTCTCCCTCTTTCTCTCTCTCTCTCTCTACCCCTCTTCCCCACTCACACACACTCTTTCTCTCTAAAATAAAATAAATAAATAAAGATAAATAAAGATAAAATAAAATTTGGTTTTTTAACCATAAGCCCCAAAAGAAGTCAAAGGACTTCCTTCTTGCACAGATGTTTAAAAAGAGACACATTTTAGTCCTCTATGCTGCTCTTTGTATTATGGGTACAATTTTCTAGCTCAATTAAGAAGAAATGTACACTGTCAAGGTCTTACTTGTTCTATATATTGAGACAAGATATTGTACAGCTAGTAGATGTAAGGTGGAAAGATGTAATTTACTGTTGATTTTGTTTAATTTCATTCAGATCTTGAGCATGGAGGGGCAGAACAGTTCAAAATGCCTTTTATAAGTTTCACATTTTCTTCTTTCTTTTCTTTTTTTTACCAAAGTTAAGGAGAATAGAAAGGGACGGAGCTGTTTCTGATTTCTTTGTGAAAGAAAAGTAAAGAACTTTAGTTTCTCTTTTCCCACCTCTTGCCTTTAACAAGAGTAGAGACTAATTATCAGATTATCAAATGCCCTCTTCATCGGATGACCTAGAATCAAAGAAAGACCTTAGGGACAAACCCACTGTTTTTCCTTATGTGAAAACTGAGGCCTGGAGAGATTAAGCAATTTACCCAGATAAAATATAACACGTGGAAGCAGAACTCTGATATCAAGTAACCTAATGGTTCACTTTTATGCTAGTTTCGAAATATCCCATAGTAGAAGGCTGATTAAATACAATACGACACATGCAGAGCATGGGACATAGCTATTCTAGGTGTCCAGGCAAGGAGACTGTAAGAGCAGGGGAAAACATTTGACCTGCTGCGTAACCAGTTTGGAATAACGGAAATCCCAGCTGGAAAGGCTATTTGGGGCCATAGTCTGGAGAAAAATTAGTATCTAAGGTATTTGGACTCTCCTGCTCAGTTTTAGTGGCTACCGCAGATTTTTTTAACCCTAGGAGGGACTTGATCAAAATCGTTGCTCGGGGCAAGATTGACTGGAAAGAGGAGGGAGATTGGATAGGGAAGAGCCCTGACGTACAATCCTTAAGTGCACTAAGTGATTGTGTAGGTAAGGCCACTGGCTTCAGCTGGATGGCAGGGGCAAGAGGTTTGAGAGAGAGAGAGAGAGAGAGAGAGAGAGAGAGAGAGACAGCGAGCGAGAGAGAGGTTAAGCTTCCCTCACAGAACCCCAAAGTCTTTGCGGGGCAAGACGTGGAACTTTTGGTGTAGTGTGTATGAAAGATTGCGGATGAGTATTAGGCATTCAATTAACACATTTACATTATGGTTCTGTCGAGGAAATGCAGGGAAAAACATGAAAAGGGCAAGGACGTTAAAGCAAGTAGATAAAAGCTATCTGTCACAACCCGCAGTCCGCACTGCCTCGATTTCCCCCTGGGCTCAGTCCCGCAGGCTACAGGTCGTTCCGAAGAGCAAACGAAAGAGGGCCAAGCGGGCGCCCTTTTTCAGGCTCCGCCCCTCCGTCCGCGCGCCTGCGCCCTCAGGTCCCGTTCGTCCCGCCCCTCTCCTCCCCCGCCCGCGTGGTCGCCGCCACCGCAGCCGCCCGAGAGGAGCTGGGGGAGGACGGTGGCCCGCGAGGCTCGTCGCAGACAACGCGGCGGCGATGTCCGCGAGCCAGGCGAGTGCCGCGGCGGCAGCGGCGGGGCCTCGCACGCGGCAGGGCGGCCTGGGCTTCGGCCTCCCTCCGGTTCCCAGGAAGCGAGCTGGCGGCCAGCGCGGGACCAGCAGCAGCAGCAGAGGCGGAGGCACCGGCGGGTCTCTCTCCTCCCCTTCAGCCTGAGCCGGGGGAGGCCAGGCGGCCCGGGTGGCTGGAGGGGGGGTCCGCTGCCCAAGAATGGGAATTCTCTTCACCAGGATATGGAGACTGTTCAATCACCAGGGTGAGGGGTGCGGGCCGAGGGCTTACGATTGGGGGAGAGGGTCGGCCCTGGCCGGGAGGGGGGGGGGGGGTCTCCGAATACTTCCGGAATGTGGGCGGTACGACTGCGCGCCTCTCAGCTCTGGGTGCGGGCTGCGTTGATGCTGGTCCGGGGGCTTTCAGTCCCCACTCCCGAGTTCGGGAATGGTTTTTTTCTTAAGGGACCTACTTGCGAAATCCATTCTGCAAATGCACCCATTGCTCCGATTTCGATTTGGAAAGGAAAAGGTTTCTTGCCCCACGTCCGACGTCCCTTTGTAGGGCCTGGCCTATCTTATGGCCCTTTTTCCTCCAGCAATTGGGTTTGGACACCACATAGAAATGCTGGGGTCCTCTGGGATGAAGGTTATAGGTTATGGCCCGAGCCGCACCACTGAGCGATGGAGGGTTGCAGAATGCGGGAAACTTGAGGAATCGCTCTTGAGTTGTCCAGTACACCTCGGTTTATGAGCTCTCCTTGGGGAGACTAGTGCATCCCGAATGGCAATGGATCTCACTCCTTTTCCTATATTCATATTTCTGTTTAAGATTAAGCTTAAGATCATTTTCCTGTTTGTGTTCCTTATTTAAGTGGAGGGTTTGGGGTTTTTTTGGCTGGATGAAAAGTGTTAAAGTGTTTCACTGAAAGCATGTGAAAACATGCCATACGAAACATTTGTTTATGTAGGTAACGAGCAAGTTACTACATACAGAATATATTATCATACAGGGATGCTTAAGTTCATCTGAACTCAAACATTGACTGGAAATGCATATCAGGTTTATTAAAATTTGTTACAAGATGAATCTCTAAAACTGAGGAAAGAGGATACAACTTTAACAAAACTCCATAGTCATTGAGATATACTATAGTTAGTGGTGCTCTTTTGTTCCTTTTTTTTTTTTAATTTTTTTTTCAACGTTTATTTATTTTTGGGGACAGAGAGAGACAGAGCATGAACAGGGGAGGGGCAGAGAGAGAGAGGGAGACACAGAATCGGAAACAGGCTCCAGGCTCTGAGCCATCAGCCCAGAGCCCGACGCGGGGCTCGAACTCACGGAGCGCGAGATCGTGACCTGGCTGAAGTCGGACGCTTAACCGACTGCGCCATCCAGGCGCCCCTCTTTTGTTCCTTTTTAACGCATGTTGGGTGATTTATCATTTCTGCTGTCAGTAACTTAGTTTGCTATTTTGTCTTGGGTGAGCTGGTGGTGGTGTCACATCCCAAAGTTTTCCAATAAAGACCTGAATGAGTGGTGGCATCTATTATGTACAACGTATCCCCACTTTCTCCTTCATGATCCAGCTTCCTATAAGAAGATGATAGGAAGGGAGCAGAACTGGAACTTGGAATTGCTGTGTATCTTAAAAAAAAAAAAATGGTAGTGTAGATCACATGACACTCGGAAGAGCAATATTTAAAATGATTTTTCTGATATGGGAATTTTTCTTAAAATGGAGAAAACCAGTTCTAATCTGCCTGGTCTCTAGCTAGCTGTTTCTGTTGGGAGAGGGGAAGTGAGACATAGTCATTTAACCTCTTTGGGTCTAGATGTTCTCAATGTAGAACACCAGGGATCTTGGGTGAGTGACTGTGGAGCCTACAGATATTGGAAAGGTAATCTCTAGGTCTCAAGAATAGGAACTCACATTGCTGTAAAATCGGTAGTGTTTCTAGTAGATAGGATCTATTCTAGTTTTTACCTCCATAATTTTTGTATTATTTTTAGCAAAGCTAGTATTTCAGCTCTGCTATGAAATTTATATTGCTTGTTGATTGAGCTCTAGTCCTGCAAGAAAAATGAGATATCTCCACTTTCTATTTTAAGTCAGTGATAAAATTATTTGTGTCTGTAACTTAAGAATGAATTACAGCTTTGCCAACAGCTACTTGCAAGTAGTAAACAATAAGGATGTTACTGCATCGTTGCTACTAAAAATTGCTAATAGTGGTGTTCTTGTTGCTTGTATTTTGTGGTAATTTTTCACTGGACATTTCTTTCAGTGTTGGGAAATTAATAGTAAGAGGAACTAATGAAGTTAAGTTTTAGAAATTTAGATGTCAAAATATTGTGAAAATGTGAATAAACTATTTTGCTAAATGATGTGGTTGTTAATCAGTAGGATCATATTTCAGAATATTTACCATTAAATCTAATGTCAGATTTTGATGCTTTTAAATTGGAGATATGATATATATGTCAGATAGATCTTGGATGCTTTATTTTACCTTCAGAAGGTACAGAACACAATCCTATGTTCTTTTCACATAAACTCTTGGAAGGAAAATTTTAGGGGATTACAGAATTGGCTGTGCTGAGGGAACTTCATGCCATATCTCTTTTTTTCTGAAACACGTTTAGAATTTTTTTTTTTTTTTCCAGTTTAAGTTTAGCTTGGTTGAGTGCACAGTGAAAGCTTATTGCATACTTCTCAAACTTGAAAAACCAGAGGTTGCCTTTAGGTGATATTTAAATTCAATAGAATATAAATTTTGTCCTAAATGGTGTTATATACATTATTTAAAGAAAAAATAATGTTTCAACAGTTCTTTGTAGTTATTCTTTGTAGTTATTCCCCTCAAAAGAGGAAACTGATGTTCCGGTGGAGTGATTTTCCTGGGCCACACAACTGGTAAATGCCACGTTAAAACACTGAAGAAATATGTTGCAGATACATGTCTTATTAAAGGAGAGATTGGCATAATTTTTTTCTTTGACTCCCCTCCCCCCATTTATTGTTTCTCAGTTACTAAGTTATAAGTCTTTATAACAGTAGGACTTTGAAGAATTGTCATGAGTGTCTTTTAGTATAGAAGGGCTTGTGATCAGTGGTTTATTAAATATTTTTGAGCACCTGTTTGTGCCAGTTATTGTTGTAGGTGGTGGAAACAAAGCAGGGAACAAAACAGACAAATCTCCCTGCCTTTGTGGAGGGTTCATTCTAGTGTGGGGAGACAGGATATAAGCTAACTCCATCTCTAGAGATGAGATAATAATAGTTAACATTTGCTGACTTTTGCAAGGTTAGGTTCAACGCAGATTAGTTGATTTAATCTTCATTTCAGTTGATTTACTCTTGACAACAACCCTAGGAGGAAGATTTCTCCCGAATTTATAGGGACAAAGAAACATTAAGTAACTTGCTTAAGGCACTATAGTTAAGAGACCTGGGATTTTAACCAGGGTCATCTATTGCCATAGTTAGTGCTCTTTAAAAAACAAATAAACAAAAAAACTTTCTTTGTGTAAGAAGGATTCACGTTAGCTAAATGGAAGAACTTTGTCATTTATGTGAACTATGAATAAGTTGTGAAATTTCCTTATTGATAGCCTGTATTATTCTTCTGATTGGCTCTTAGGAAAGGAGTAAGTTATGAATGAATGCTGATGAAGCTGCCTGTGCTGCTGGAGCCTGGTGCTGGGAAGGCCACCCCTGCTGCTGTTGGGTTTTTTTGTATGGGAGTTCAGCTGTGTAGAAGAGTAGAGTACATATGGAAGCTCAGTCAAAGAGATGGACTATGGCAATAAAATTTAGCTCCATAATCCTCGTTCTTGCACGCTCTGTGGATATGGAGCTGGATCCTTATAGATTTTTCTTTTGCCAGCTGGCACAATATTAAGCTTTATCAGTAGACAAGGCATTGGAGGGACGTTGAATGAGGAAACAGTTTTTCTTCCTGGGTACAGTGTGCTTTTAGCAGGTTCTGTCCTGCTTTAGGAGGGTGAACACCTTTTCTAGTGGCTAGCTCCTGCACTGCATAGTGGTTAGCAATCACCAGCTGTTTCTAGCACCCACTTCAGTTGATTTCATCGTGGAGGACCTCCAGCAAAATCTCTCTCAATGAAGTTTTCCCCAACACCCTAAAGGGAAGATTTCCAGCAAGATTCACTGGCAGATCCCCACAGCTACTTCTGTGCGCCACAACCAAGGCTTTCAGTGAGGTCTGCATCTCAGTCCAGGGGGCTCTGGGGAAGCTCTGTCTAAGCCTCTAAGTGTGGTGGATTCTCCTTATATTTGTCAGTCTAATAGTCTTTAGCGTTATTTTTTATTATCCAAGCCCTCATTACTTTGATCCCATTTAATAGTTTTTTCTTTCTTTTTTTTTTTAATATTTATTTGTTTTTGGGAGAGAGAGCGCGTGCGTGCGAGAGAGCACATGAGTGGGGGAAGGGCAGAGAGAGGGTGACAAAGAATCCAAAGCAGGCTCCAGGCTCTGGGCTATCAGCACAGAGTCCGACGCCTGGCCGAACTCGCAAACCGTGAGATCATGACCTGAGCTGAAGTCAGGCGTTCAACCCACTGAGCCACCTAGGTGCTCCCTGCCCCAGTTGTTTTCTTTACACTAAACTTAGCAAGTTCAAATTATTGTGTGGTTTCTCTTTCCTGATTGCATCTCTGATTTTGCCATGTATAATCATCGCTTTTCATTCAGCAACCTTAGTGTGAAAGAGGTGTTTTTTCCCTGAGACTTTACTACCATTGTTATAAATAGTAAGTTTATTTTCAAACTATTTTTTGTTAATGATGCTTCTAGATTTTGAAAATTGAACTTTTAATACAAAGTGACTTGATCAGATATTTCACGTCCAACCTTTATATCTTCCAGATCTGATTTATTTCTTCATTCATACTTTATTAAGCACCTGCTTTATTCCAGGTTCGGTGCTAGGGACTGGGAGAATGAACGATAGACAACATGACAGGTGGATTTTTTGCTCTATGTAAGATAGAGTTAGGGTTTTGTGTAGTGTAGAAATGAGATGATAATGAAGGGTCAGAATGACTCTCAAGTTATCTGCCTTAGCATTTGTGTTTTTTGACTTTGGTATGATTCACAGAACTAGAAGTCCTCCAGGATGACAGTGACATCTTTTCGTTTAATTTGCTGACTGGTGGTTGGAGGAATATATATATAAATTGAGTTTTAGAACCTGGCAATGAATGGAACTGATAGGCTGTCTGGGTGTGACAAGGAAATG